AAGTTAGCCAGGCGTGGTGGCATGCACCTGTAATCCCAGCTACTCGGGAGGCTGAGGCACGAGAATCACTTGAACAAGGAAGTGGAGGTTGCAGTGAGCTGAGATTGTGCCACTGTGCTCCAGCCTAAGTGACAGAGCAAGACTCTGTCTCAAAAAATTAAATAAATAAATATTAAAAATAAATACATACATACATACATAAAAGACCTCTGCAGTTTATTCCTCTGGGAATTAGGTGCAGCTCCTCATGTCCAGTAAACCCATGTGAATGTGTGCAACCAGGCCTGGCCTACATTTGTGTGTTGATGTAGAGAAAAAGGAGGCAGAGCTGCAACAAAGTACACCCAGAGGTCTGCTCCCCCCTCACTCACCAGGAAACCAGCTGCCACCTCAGCTCTGAGTGGGAGTTTCTTTTCATGTTGTTTCCAAAAATAAAAGCTACAGTCAGCTTGGGAAGAACTTTTCATCAAGCAGAACAGAGAAATCAAGTAGAAAAGATTCAAAGAGTTGGTGAGATTATCCAGTCCACCCCCATCATTTATTACAGGAGGAAACTGAAACCCAGAGACATTGAGTAACTAGTTCAAGGTCACACAGAAGAGTGGAAAAACCAGCAGCAGAACTCAGCTCAAACCCAACTCGAAGCCAGGTGCTCTAACTTCAAGCTGAGTGTCTTAGTCCTCTTCTTTTATAACAGAAGACCACAGACTGAGTAACTTATGAAGAACGTGACTTATTGCTTACAGTTCTGGAGGCTGGAAAGTGCAACATCAAGGGACTGGCATCTGGCAAGGGCCTTCTGGCTACATCATCCTATGGTGGAAGGCAAAAGGGCTAAAGGTTCTGCGCGATAGGGGGACAAACTCACCCTTCATAAGGATGCTCTTCTCAAGGTAACAAACCCACTCCCAAAATAATGGCATTAATCCTGATTAATCCTCATAATGTGATTACCTCTTAATGGTCCCACCTCTCAATGCTGTTGCACTGGGGATTAAGTCTCCAGGACATGAACTTTGGAAAATACATCTAAACCACAGCATTGAGTGTTCTTTATGTTATAGCAGGGAGTATCTATGATTTCCACTCACAGTCCTTTTAGACTGCCTTTCTTCCTATCTCAGTTGCTTTTTAAAATGACAGAAAAGTGAGGCTTCTCGAAAAATGGATATCTGCATAAAAATCATGGTAACATATCTATGTGCCTTTGTGTGTGCTGTCCCCACTGCCTTGGATTCCCTTCTCTGCCTAACTGCTCGAACCCCTCCTTATCCATCAAAACCCCAAAGATTGCTGCCTTCTATGAAAACATTCCCTGGCTCTCCAGGGCCACTGGTTGTTCCCTGCTCTATGTTCTTGGCCCTGACCTTGCCCCAGCACTCAGAACACTTTATGGTGGAACTGGGTCTTCTCCACAAGAGTGAAAACTCTTCAAAGGCAGAGAGGTACCAAATTCAGCAGCACACAGCTTAAGCTACGAAAGGGTGGACTTTGAACCACAGTCTCCATGAGGGAGGGAATTTATCGTTCCACCCCAGCTCCCAGCTCACAGTGTGAGCCCAAGGAGGATTAGTTATTACCAAAGGAATCTGAACAGGGATGTTCTACAACGGGAAGAGATGCTAATCCTGGAGCCATGGAGCTTTCGAAAGACACTTCCTGGGCGTGCCAAGCAGGTCAGGCTGACAAACGACTGGGCACTAAAAGGCACAAGAAGCTCTCACATGTGTGTAGGCCTCCAGGGCTACAAAGCACTGGCAAAGGGGACCTCATCTGAGTCAACTCTGAAAGTGCTCTTCAGTGCTGCTTCCGTGAGGCCTACTTCACCTTCTGCCAAGGGACCACTGCTCCCAAGTCTGGCTGACCCTGACCTCCGGACTGAAAGACACGAAGGGGCACAGAGGGAAGGAGTAAGTCGAGCTAAAAATACATGACTGAACAGGCATTTATATTACACAAGACTTAGGTGGGGAAAATAGGAGCAACGCCAACCGTAAAGTAACCTGTATACGACAAGTTAAATTGAGAAAGAATTACCTACTTTCACAAAGTGGGCTGAGGTTAACTGGGCTCTGCACTTAAGAGCATTAGAAAAGAACACACAAGACACCAAAGTGTGGGATTTCATTATCTCCAGTTTACTTTAATTGCTTGTTTACACACATGATCTGTGTATACATAACAGCAGCAAGAGCCATTGTCTAAATACAATCTGGTGCCCAGACTATGACAGATGCACGTGGAAAATGAGGCGTCGGTGAACTGATCTCAACATAGGCAAAATAAGCATGGCAGTATTCTATGATCACAGATGCTCCCAGAGCCTCTTGTTAAGCAGCTGGGGATGACAGACACTTTTCAACACAATACAGAACGATTTGAACAAAAGACCCAGACTCCAAATGGCACCCAGAATATATTCATTTCTCTGCCTTCTCTAAAGGAGGTGAAAGTTCTAAAGGCTTACTCAAGAGGAAGGAGGCAGGAAGACTATCGCCTGCCAAGCAGATGCTGAGCACCGTACAGGCACCATTTCCCTTCATCATCTCCACTTTACAGGTGATGAAAACGCGGTTCACCATGATCACACAGCCAATAGGAGTGTTGCCAAGATATGAACCCACATCTCACGTTTGCTTGAGCCCAGATCCTTTCTCTTATGTTAATCATGCTGTCTCACATAGGAATAGAGAGCATGCTCCCAAGGAAGAGGGAAGGGTGCGCAGCATGGACAAGTGGCGGAAGCCTCATCAATACAGAAGGCTCTGCAACTGATACTTTCCACAGAGTTAATTTAGTGCTAAGCCTGAATCAGACCCACATGAGATAAATATCTGGAGATTTAAGTGTCACAAATGGACTTTTGGAGTCACCTTTGCCTATTTCCTTTTGTACTGAACATGACACTTAGAAGACCTTTTTGGGTTTTTTGTTGTTGTTGTTTTTGAGATGGGGGTCTCACTCTGTCACTCAGGCTGGAGAGTAGTGGCATGATCTTGATCATCTCGGCTCACTGCAACCTCTGTGCTCCCGGGTTCAAAAGATTTTCCTGCCTCAGCTTCCCAAGTAGCTGGGATTACAGATGTGCACCACCACACCCAGCTAATTTCTGTATCCGTAGTAGAGATGGGGTTTCACCATGTTTGCCAGGCTGGCCAGGCCTCAAGTGATCCTCCCACCTTGGCCTCCCAAAGTGCTGGGATTACAGGTGTGAGCCACCGTGCCTGGCCTAGGAGCGCTTTCAATCCCTTCAACAAGCCCCTGCCATCTACTCCCTGGCCACTCCCACCACTGGCCTCCAAAGCACCATGGTGCCACCTCCCAAAGCTCATCGCCTGTGTTTCTGCCCCTTTTGAGAGCAACGTATCATGACACATTGTGATCAATAAAGTTAACCTGCAACTTGATGGGATATGAAATATTTAAAATATATCTTCATATAAAAAAATTTTACATCGAAGATTCACCCTCAACCACCTAAGCTTCAGTGGAGCCAGTCAGGTGTAGTGTTTCTCAGTTATTGCTACTATCAGGCTTGACTGGAGAGAGGGCAGCAAGGCAGCTTGAAGCCCCCAACAGCAAGGGGCTTGGTTTGAAAGGCTTAAGGAGATAGTCTGGGAGAGAACAGGGGACATCTTATCACAGGGCATGGAACTGTGCTTTTGTGGATGGAGGCAACAGGATTTCGAACCCTTTCCAGCACTGTCACAGCAAAGGCCACAGAATGACAAAGCTGGAAACTGAAAAGTGCTGCAAAGGGGAAAGAAAAAGAACTGATTTCAAGGCCAGTTTAACAGGCCCAGGCATGAATGGGTTTGGTTGGTGACACAAATTAACAGGAGGGAGGGGCTACGGTCATGCCACCTTTTAATAAGGGTGATTTTGCAAACAGGTTGGCTTTTTGCCATCTGAGGGAGGCATTTTACTTCACGTCTGCATTATCATAATCTTGTCTAAAAGGTACAGATGCCCTGGGCCACAGCAGAGTGATGAACACACTCAGCACGTGATCCTATAGCAAACTGTTCAGTCTGTGCCCCTGATACGTGGTCAGGGGAGTTTCAGTGCAAGCATGCATTCTGCAAAGTCACCCCGACTCACCTTAAAATTCAGCAGGCTGTTACTAAAATGCCTGCTTTCTGGTTTTATTATCGTATTTATTTATTTTTATTATAGAAATAGGGGTCTCACTATGTTGCTCGGGCTGGCCTCAAACTCCTGGGCTCCAGTAATCCTCCCACATTGGCCTCCCAAAGTGCTGGGATTACAGGTGTGCGCCACTACACCTGGCCCAGCTTTCACTGTTAAAGGAAACAGCCCATGAGGTGGAATTTATGACTATCAGCCCAGAGCTTGGTTTATAACAAGTAAATTAGTGTTCGAAACCAACCAGCCAACCCTCAAAACAATCTACATGTGCCAGAGAGCAGCACTGGAGTTGTGAGTTATTTTCAGGAGTTTTACCAACAAAAAACAAATGCCATAGTTCTTTTCAAAAACTGTAAAGGATTCACTCGAAATAGAACAGAAAAAAAGGTAATCTTATTGCTCCAAAAAACCAGCATATAGTAATAGAAAACACGGACAGAAAATGATCGTAGTCCTTTACATATGAATCATCCAGTACTCTGTCGGAGAGGCACTGCATGTTAAAGGGCCTGTTTCAGCGGCTAATCACAAGCCAGTTGCAATATTTAAACATTTCATGGATGAAACAAGTACTATAACCAGAGAGTGTCCTTCAGGCATCAGGGTGTTTTATAAAGAACGCTGCCTGAAACAGACACCCATGCAAAATTGACCAGTGGGAAATCTGGGTTTTTTTCCTTGTTGTTTTTGGAGACAGAGCCTTGCTCTGTTGCCCAGGCTGGAGTACAGTGGTGCAATCCTGGCTCACTGCAACCTCCGCCTCCCGGGTTCAAGCAATTCTCCTGCCTCAGCCTTCTGAGTAGCTGGGATTACAGGTGCATACCACTAGGCCCAGCTAATTTTTGTATTCTTAGTAGAGACGAGGTTTCGCCATGTTGGCCAGGCTGGTCTCCAACTCCTGACCTCAGGTGATCCGCTTGCCTCAGCCTCCCAAAGTGCTGGGATTACAGGTGTGAGCCACTGCGCCTGGCCAGAAATACTCCTAAGTAACAGCAGTGAGAGCCATTAAAATCTAAAGATGACCAGAACCTGGGAGAAGGTAGCAAAGGAGCCCCCAGGTTCCGGCCTCCCCTTTGGCCACACCACAGAGGCTTTCCTGATGCTGCGCTTTTGCTGAGCCTTAGCTCCCCACCCTAGGGACAAAAGGAGTGTTCCAGACAAAGGTCAAGCCTTGCCAGGGACAAAAAGTGCCTAACTGGGAATGGTGGTGCCTGCGACACTGGTGATGTGGCCAAGAATAGTCTGAGGACTAAATTCACTCCCCAGACTTCAGCACCACCCACCAAAACTGCCTGGTACCCTTTCCCTCTGAAGTAGGATCAATAATTTAGCCAAATAACTAAGCAAAATATATTTAAAAAAAAACAAACAAACAGATTTGTCATTGTCCTTCTGTCCCCGCTTTTGTGACTCTTACTTCTTGTAACTGTCTTGCTTCAAATTCAAACTACAGCTCTTGGGAGGAAGTCCTGGGGAAAAGGCTTTCAGATACCAACACCCATATGTCCCGTACCAGCCGAGCAAACCGAACAAGGTGCCGAACACCTTCTGGGACAAGTTGTGGAAATAAACAGCTGTGCACAGAAACATCAACACCCAGATGAAAGTCAGAATACCCAGGGCCACCACCAGGGTGGTGATGGCGGCGTGGAGGCAGTGGCTCCGGTCCGTCTTCACCTCATGCATCACTGACATCTCTTCCACAATCATGAGGGCGCAGAAGGTCAGCAGGAAGGAGTGACCTGAGATGTCAAAGCCATGCCAAAAGCCCCCTTCCTGGTGGCACTGCTGCTTGCTCTGGTGCTCCTTCCTGACCCCCTCTAGGGCCGGGGACTGGTAGCAGGTACCCGTGTAGTGTTCGATGTTGGAGAAGATGGAGGTGCAGACATACCAGATGGCCGTGCCCACAAGCAGGGTGCTCAGCCGCCGCAGGACCAGGCCAGCCTTGCCAGTCAGGTGGTAGTTGGTGAGGGCAATGAAAGGCAGGAGGAGACAGAACGTCCAGGCCCAGGCCATTTTGACAAAATACCTGACAGAGGAGGAAAGCGGAAGTGAAGAGAGGGAACATGGCGGAGAGGGCACCATGTCAGGACTCAGATCTCTAGACTGCCAAGGGAGGGAAAATGAGAAAACTGATCAAAGCTACAGATCACAGCAACTATCATGTTTTAAATACTTACCATATTCTTCACTTACTAAGTACTTTTTTTTTTTTTTTTTGAGATGGAGTCTTGCTCTGTCGACCAGGCCAGAGTGCAATGGTGTAATCTCGGCTCACTGCAACCTCTGCCTCCTGGGTTCAAGCAGTTCTCTACCTCAGCCTTCTGCATAGCTGGGATTACAGGCACAGCCACCACATTCAGCTAATTTTTGTATTTTTAGTAGACACAGGGTTTCACTATCTTGGCCAGGCTGGTCTTGAACTCCTGACCTTGTGATACACCTGCCTCAGCCTCCCAAAGTGCTGGGATTACAGGCTTCAGCCACTGCGCCTGGCCTCTAAATACTTTATTTTTAATTTCCTTTTTTTTTTTTTTTTTTTTTTTTTGAGATAAGAGTCTCGCTCTGTCACCCATGCTGGAGTGCAGTGATGCAATCTTGGCTCACTGCAACCACTACCTCCTGGGTTCAAGTTCTCCTGCCAAGTAGCTGAGATTACAGATGCACATCACCACACCTGGCTAATTTTTGTATTTTTAGTAGAGACAGGATTTCACCATGTTGGCCAGGCTGGTCTCGAACTCCTGGCCTCAACTGATCTAGCTGCCTCAGTTTCCCAAAGTGCTGGGATTACAGGCGTGAGCCACCACACCCAAACCACCCCACAACCCCTGTGTAAGTACTTTAAATGTATTAACCAGTTAATTTGTAAATGACTCTATGACGTAAGTACTGTTATTATCCGCATTTAACAGAAAAGAAAACTAAGACACAGGGAAGTGCCAAACCCAAAGTAGAGGAGCCGGGATTCAAATCCAGGACCTGTGGTCTTAAGCGCCATGTTATTTACTTAGGAAAATAATAATAACTGAGCATCTACCAAATGCCAGGAGCTTTCACACACATTCACTTTCCCACAGAGCACTCACATTTGCCCTGGGAAGAAGGTACCATTGTTCCATTTTATAGACAAGAAACCTAAGGCTCAGAAAACTTGAGTACCTTGCCAGGGTCACACTCATATAACCAGCAAACACTGATTCAACCACGATTTGGACAGCCCCAAAGTCCACGCTATTTCTCCCATACCTTGTGTTTTTTGTTTTTCCTTTTCTTTCTTTTCTTTTTTGAGACAGGGTCTCACTCTGTCACCCAGGCTTACATGCAGTGGCACAATCATACCTCACTGCAGCCTCAAACTCCTGAGCTCAAGTAATCCTCCCGCCTCAGCCTCACAAATAGATGGGACTACAGGTTTGTGCCAATGTGCCTGGCTAATTGTGTGTGTGTGTGTGTGTGTGTGTGTGTGTGTGTGTGTGCATGCACACGCACACACACAGGCAGAGATGAAGCCTTGCTATGTTGCCCAAGCTGGTCTTGAACCCCAAACCTCAAGCAATTATCCTGCCTCAGCTCCCAAAGTGCTGGGACTACAGGTATGAACCACTACACCCAGCCTGGTTCTTTCCCAATAGCACAGTCTTGCAACAATGAGCTTTACTTTAAGACAAAGACCCGGGTTCAAATCTTGACTCTGACTTATTATACCTCCTACCTCTCCAGCCCTCAGTTTCTTCAGCTATGAAACAGAGCTGGGGACCAAATGATTTTTTTATTTTTGAGACAGAGTTTCACTCTTGTCACCCAGGCTGGAGTACAATGGCACGATCTCGGCTCACTACAACCTCCGCCTCCTAAATTAAAGCGATTCTCCTGCCTCAGCCTCCGAGGTAGCTGGGATTATGGGTACCTACCACCACACCTGACTAAGATTTGTATTTTTATTTATTTATTTTGAGATGGAGTCTCACCTTCTGTCACCCAGGCTGGAGTGCAGTGGCACGATCTTAGCTCACTGCAGCCCCCACCTCCCAAGTTCAAGCAATTCTCCTGCCTCAGCCCTCCGAGTGGCTGGGATTACAGGCATGCACCACCACGCCCAGCTAATTTTTGTATTTTTAGTAGAAATGGGGTTTCTCCATGTTGGCCAGTCTCAAACTCCTGACCTCAGGTGATCCGCCCACCTCGGCCTCCTAAAGTGCTTGGATTACAGGTATGAGTCACTACGCCTGGCATGGCTCTTTCCTAATGGCAGAAACAGTCCTGCAACAAAGTTTTACTTTAAGCCAAAAGACCTGGGTTCAAAGCTTGACTCTGAGTTAACTTACTATACCTCCAACCTCTCCAGACCTCAGTTTCTTCAGCTATTAAACAGACCTGGGAGGATCAAATGATTTTTAAGATCCCTTCTAGATTTAGATTCACTAGTTCCCTCTCATTAATCAGCACAGAGACTTGGAACAAAAGTCCAGGATACATCGCTACCCCCAAAACAGCAGGGGCGTGTTGTCAGCCAGGCCGCTTGGCTCCCAGCTCACCCAGGCCAGAGGAAGCAGCAGCTGCCTTGTGCACCTCCCCTGTGCTCACGAAGGCTGCCGAACTAAACGCAGGACAGGGACTTGGGGCCACTACCAGCCTCATGACCTATTCTTAGCCCAGCCTCTCAGGGTGGGTGAGGAAGGACGGTGGGCCAAGGACAGAAGGACTCTTTTCTAGGTTCCAATGGCTTCTAGGGCACCACCCCAGGGCCTGTCACTAAAATCTTCACTGGGACTGATAAGGAAGACTTCGCCAGAGCCAAGACCGTCAGGCATTTGAGGGAGCTGCCTGTGAGAGAAACCAGGGTTTTAAGCAGATAACCAAAGTTGGGCTGACTTTCAGGACACGCTGGAGACGCTTATTCTGGAAGACACTTAGGCTTACGTCAAGGGAGCAGCTTTATCTTTCAGAATTCCCCTTTATGTCTGCAATAAACTTACTGGCCGGGAGTTTTGAAAAAAGAAGGCAAGCAAGCAAAGGAGTGGATGGGTGGAGCTAAGGCGCTGTCTCAAAGCCCCGGCTGGGATTGCTTTTCTGGGCCACTGCCATGCATTCTGAGTGGTGGAGATAATCCAAGGAGATCCAGGGGAAAGGGCACAGACTAGGGGGTTCCACTGCTCTGTGAGTATCTCGGGGCGGGAGCTCTGTCTGTCACAGGCTAGGGCGAGGCTCTTCCACAGGTGGTGATGGGATTCTGCCACACGCCGCGGGGATCTGATTTGGCGCAGGGTGGGGTCTGTGCCGGGTCTGACACAGGCAGGCAGGACAGTGAGGTGGCATCTCCCAGACAGGTCAGGGGCCAGCTCCTAACTCCAAGGGAAGGCGAGGGAATGGCGACATGGGCTGATTCATCCCCACCCCACTGCACACCCTACACACAGAGACACACACGACCCCGCTCGCCACCGCCTGCCCAACGTGAGTCTGCAAACACGAACTGCTAGTGACACCCACTACCCCGGGCCCCCCAGGAGCGACACGCGTGCAGATGCTGCTGTCACGGCTGGGAGGAGGACCTCCCCTCCAATGACTCGTCCACCAAGGCAGCTAGCCTCGGCTTCGCTGTGCGAGGCGACAACGGGCCGGTTCTGGTTGGGACAGCAGAAGACCGGGGTGCACTCACATGTTGAGGACGTTGCGCTTGTTGCTGAGGTAGCTCTCGGGCAGCGGAGACAACTCCTTGAGAAGGGAGCCCGCCAGCATGGAGGCCACCAGCGCCCAGGGCAGATAGCGCCGCACGGCCGCCCGCACTAGCGTCCCCCGGAGGAACCACGCGCAGCGCTCCAACTGCTCCATGCCGGATCCTGTCGGCCACCGTCCACCTCCTTGTGCCCTCTGGGCCACCGTATTGCCCTTCGCCCGGACCAGCGCCTCCGCCTCCCTTCGAACGCATGCGCGCCGCCCACGAGTCCCACCCCTTGCGACGTGCTAGGGTTCCCGAGCCCGCGCGCTCCCCCTCGTGGCCGCTAGCTGGCTCTGCAGCGTGCCCGTCCCCGAGCGCCTGGCTCCTCTCTGCGCTCTCCTGGCCGCCCCAGCCCCGCCAGGCCACACGCTGGAGTCCTGCAGGTTCCAGTAAGCCTCTGTGTCTTGCCGTAGTCTGGGAAAAAGCGCCTGGGAAAGTACTTGCTGGAGGCTGGAGGAGGATAAATGTAGCCCTGGAGATTTGGAACAGTCGTTAACAGCATCATTAAGTCTTTCCTGGAGCAAAATCTTTGGGCAAATAGTTTTTTTTTTTTTTTTTTTTTTTTTTTGAGACGGAGTTTCGCTCTTGTTACCCAGGCTGGAGTGCAATGGCGCGATGTCGGCTCACCGCAACCTCCGCCTCCTGGGTTCAGGCAATTCTCCTGCCTCAGCCTCCTGAGTAGCTGGGATTACAGGCACGTGCCACCATGCCCAGCTAATTTTTTGTATTTTTAGTAGAGACGGGGTTTCACCATGTTGACCAGGATGGTCTCGATCTCTCGACCTCGTGATCCACCCGCCTTAGTCTCAAAAAAAAAAAATATATATATATATATATATATATATCTCCTTTATAACGTACTTGTTCGTGTGTCTCATTTCTGTCTCCCCTAGAATGTCAGCTGCAGAGGGTGGGTAACTTTATCTGTCTTGCTCATTGATGCATCCCAAGTGTCTAGAACTGTCTGGCAACCACTAAGCACTCCAAACAATGTTATTTTGTCATTGAATAAATTAAAGAATCATTATTAACACAGTGATCTAAAGGAACTCACTTTTAAATTTAAATTGCTTCTTTACAACCAGAAGAGAAACAATGGAAAATAATAAAAACTATGAAATTATTATTTTGGGGTGATGCAAAAAAAGAAGGAAATTATTGAAGAAGAAAAAAATAAAATAAATGATTACGAAGAAGAAAAAAAAATTTTTTTTAAGAAATCATCATTGTTTCAATCTTAAGGTGTTCCCAAGATTATACATCTCCGGGAAGGGGGTTTTCTGGTCTATCAAGTCTGAAAGATGCTGTGATAAAATGTCAATGGGTTAAGTAGAGGGTGCCTGGGGTCAGGGAAGAGTTCTTGGAAGGGATGATTTCTATCTAAGCCGAGATCTGAAGGACTGGCCAGGGGAACAGTGGGAAGCGGTCATTCCAGGAAAAGCAACCAGCAGGTGCCTTTTGTTGGCTGGTGTGCATGAAATAATTCACTCTGGTTTGGGAGTCAGGGGCAGCAGCTCAGGAATTCTCCCAGTGGGAGGCCCTCTTTGTCCACAGCTACTGGCCAATGAACAGGAGGATTCATCTCCAGCACCAACTCCTTCCTTCCCAGCTCTCCTCTGCAATGCTTCCCCCTCTGTTAACCTCTAGCCACCTCTCCTTTTGCCTGGAAGGGAAGACTAGCCACTCCCTGGGGTGAGGCAGCTGAGCAGAGCTGGTGTCTGCCAGAGGCCAGGCTGCCTGACTGCCCCACTGGGAGGGGCTTGTCTCCACTGGCTGTTCCCTGAAACACACACAAGCCCAGGCTACCCATCATCTGGGCCCATCAGGGGCACAGGCTCAGCAGGGCTGGCGGCTTTACTCAGCTGCAGGGTGAATGGCAGGGGGGTTCCTGGGACCCTACACATCCCTGGCAGCCTAAAGACCCTCCTGCTCCCTCTGATCACTGTCTCCTGCAGACTCCAGTACTTCCTATCTTGGGCAGGTCATGGCCTGGGAGGAGAGGAAGCTTTTGTTACCTGAAAGACCAATGGTAGGTGGTGGCTTATGCTTGTAACCCAGCACTTTGGGAGGCTGAGGTGGGAGGATCACTTGGGCCCAGGAGTTCCAGACCAGTCTGGGCAGCAGAGACCCTATCTCTATTAAAAAAGTTTTTGTTTTAATTAGCTGGGCTCGCCGGGCACAGTGGCTCACACCTGTAATCTTAACATTTTGGGAGGTCAAGGAAGGTGGATGTCTTGAAGTCAAGAGTTTGAGGCCAGCTTGGCCAACATAACAATACCCAGTCTCTGCTAAAAATACAAAAATTAACCAGGCGTGGTGGCATAAGCCTGTAATCCCAGCTACTGAGGAGGCTGAGGCACAAGAATTGCTTGAAACTTGGAGGCAGAGTTTGTAGTAAACCGAGATCATGCCACTGCATTCCGGCCTAGGTGACAGAGTGAGATTGTCTCAAAAATAAAATAAAAATCTGGGCATGGTGGTGTATTCCTATAATCCCAGCTACTTGGGAGGCTGAGGAAGGAGGATTTCTTGAGCCCCAGAGCTTGAGGCTGCAGTGAGCCATTATCATGCCACCGCACTGTAGCCCGGGCAACAGAGCAAGGTGGCTCAGGCCTGTAATCCAGCACTTTGAGAGGCCAAGGCAGGCAGATTGCTTGAGTCCAGGAGTTCGAGAACAGCCTGGGCAACATGGCAAAACCTTCTGGATACTGCTGGGAACAGAATGGACAAAGCTCCTTCCTTCACGGAGCTGACAGTTTCGTGGGAATAAGAAAAAACAAACATCAGCAAGATCTTAATATATATAAGATAATGTCAGGAGGCAATAAGGTGTTGAGAGGAGAGGGAATGGGGGCCAGGATGGCATGCAGCGAGAGCACAGGGGAGTCAGTGACTTGTTCATTCATTCCTTAGCACCTAGAATGCCCTCCATTTTTCAAACAAATGGCACATTTATTGAGCACTAGTTGTGTGTGTGTGTGGCACCTGCCCCAAGAGGTGTTTAATGATTGCAGGCGGCATGGAAGGGAGGGAGATAGACGTCTCACCAGGGACACGGTTGTGATGATGGTGGCTGTCTCCCTGGGGAATTTCACTGCCTTTCTTTCCCCAGGTCTGGGATGAGCAGCTGGCCAGGGCTGCCGAGGCCTGGGCCACCCAGTGCATCTGGGCACACGGGCCTTCACAGCTGATGAGATACGTGGGCCAGAACCTCTCCATCCATTCTGGCCGCTGAGTGACCCTCTGCCCTTCCTTCACTCAGTCATTCAACAAACACACATTGAACACTTACTCTGTACCAGGTGCTGCACTTGACACTGGGATAGCATGGTGAACAAGGCAGACAAGCTCTCCGCCTGCAGGGGGCCTGCATTCTAGTTAGGAGGGCGCAAGCAAAAGCCTAACAAAGTTGTGTGCACATTGAATTGAGGCAAGTCTTGTTTTGTTTTGAGAATAAGTGCACAGATTGTCATGAAGAGTGAGGAGGGATTGGGAGGCTTATAATGTAGTATAAGGGGGCCTGGCGTGGTGGCTCATGCCTGTAATCCCAGCACTTTGGGAGGCCTAGGCGGACGGATCACTTGAGATCAGTAGTTGAAGACCAGTTTGGCCAACATGGCGAAACCCCATCTCTACTAAAAATAGAAAAATTAGCCCAGCGTGGTGGTGCATGCCTGTAGTCCCAGCTACTGGGGAGGCTGAGGCAGGAGAATCACTTGTGGATTTCTTAAGCCTGTAAAATTGCAAAAAGACATCTGCGAGACTGCCACGTGATGGTCAGATTTTTATTTTGCCAAATAAGGATGTTAGAAAAACAACTGCCTTCCCAGCCTCGGGGAGAGTGGGAAGGAATTAAGGCCGGTCCTTTCAAGTGAGCTCAGTGGAAAGTCAGGGCCCTGTCTGTGTCTCTTTCATGTCTTTAACTGGTCACCACCAGCACCAGCCTCTGAGAGCCATGAATGGTCCCTCAGAGCCCTACAAAGCAGACATCGGGTGATTCAGTCCGGCCTCCATTTCACGTCCCCTCTCCCCTGCCCCTGAACTCTTCCTGCCAGACTCCACCCCTACCCATGGCCATCACTCAAGGGGCTCACAGATAGAAAGAAATCGGTGTTAGAGGCTGGGCACTGTGGCTCACACCTGTCATCTCAGCACTTTGGGAGGCCAAGGCAGGCGTATCATGAGGTCAAGAGATTGAAGCCATCCTGGACAACATGGTAAAACCTCGTTTCTACTTAAAATGCAAAAAATTAGCTTGGCATGGCGGCATGCACCTGTAGTCGCAGCTACTTGGGAGGCTGAGGCAGAAGAATTGCTTGAACCTGGGAGGTGGAGGTCGCAATGAGCCCAGATTGTGCCACTGCACTCCAGCCTGGTGATAGAGTGAGACTCCGTCTCAAAAAAAAAAAAAAAAAGAAAGCAGTGTTAGAGACAAAGCCGTGCTGCTGTAAATTATGAATGTGCATTTTTCCAGATTTTCTCCCTCATTGGCCCTTTTATGCATATTTTTGTATATTTGTGCCTCTGTCAAATATGTGTGATTGAAAAAGCCCTCAAAGGCAGGGCACGGTGGTTCACACCTGTAATCCCAGCACTTTGAGAGATCAAGGCGAGCGGATCATCTGAGGTCAGGAGTTCAAGACCAGCCTGGCCAACACAGTGAAACCTCATCCGTACTAAAAATACAAAAACTAGCCAGGCGTGGTGGTGCACACCTGTAGTCCCAGCTACTTGGGAGTTTGAGGCACAAGAATTGCTTTAACCCAGAAGGCAGAGGTTTTAGTGAGCCGAGATCGCACCACTGCACTCCAGCCTGGGCAACAGAGTGAGACCTCGTCTCAAAAAAAGAAAGAAAGAAAGAGAAAAAACCCTCGGTCCCCCCAGATGGCTTTTCAGACTGCAGAGGGTGTCTAAGGTTGGCACACCAGTATCTGCCTTCTCACATCTTAGACAGCCCGAGGAGCCCTTCCTTCCCTAAAAATGCAAATGCTTGGGAGGCTGAGGTGGGTGGATCACCTGAGGTCAGGAATTCAAGACCAGCCTGGCCATCATGGTGAAACCCCCATCTTTTTCTTTACATTTTTTAATTTTTACTTTTTTCTAAGATGAGGTTTCACCATGATGGCCAGGCTGGTCTTGAACTCTTGACCTCAGGCGATCCACCCACCTCAGGCTCTCAAAGTGCTAGGATTACAGGCCTGAGCCACCACGCCTGGCTGAAACCCCCATCCTTAAAAAAAAAAAAAAAAAAAAAAAAAGGCCGGGCGCGGTGGCTCAAGCCTGTAATCCCAGCACTTTGGGAGGCCGAGGCGGGTGGATCACGAGGTCGAGAGATCGAGACCATCCTGGTCAACATGGGGAAACCCCGTCTCTACTAAAAATACAAAAAATTAGCTGGGCATGGTGGCACGTGCCTGTAATCCCAGCTACTCAGGAGGCTGAGGCAGGAGAATTGCCTGAACCCAGGAGGCGGAGGTTGCGGTGAGCCGAGATCGCGCCATTGCACTCCAGCCTGGGTAACAAGAGCGAAACTCCGTCTCAAAAAAATAAATAAATAAATAAAATAAATAAAAATTAAAAAAAAAAGTTCAAATTTTTTTTTAAAAGAAAAAAAATGCAAACACACTTGTCTGAGATGCCCACCTCCTGCCCGGCCCTCTGCATGAAAGTAACACATATACTTTCTATGAATTATCATGTGCCAAGTACAGGGAGGCACCTCACCTGGGTTCAGAACATCCCTGTGTGGCAAGGGCCACTGCCCTCCTGCTCAGAGATGGGAAACTGAGATGAGGGAAGGGAAGCAAAGTGACTCACCCAAGGTTACCAGCAAGTTGGCTGCCGAGCCACTTTTCCATCCTCTCCCCCGGCTTCGTCTGTGTCCCGCCTCCCCAGGTACCACTCTGTGGTGGATCTCGGGACGTCCTGGTCCGAGGAGAAGCGGCATTACTTGTTTCTGGACCCAAGGGACCATAACCCACACTGCCCCTGGCGCTGCGATGGCCCCGTCTGCTCCCACTATACCCAGGTACTCCTCCGTCAGGGCTGAGGGCCCCTGGGGTACACATGCTGGTGCTTTAGAGGAAAGGAATGTGTGGAGCAAAAATGAGAATGCGAACAGGGACCGTTCTGGGCTTCTTTTAACCAAAGAAGCATATTCCTGGAAAGTTGTGTGCACACTGAATGGGAGTGAATCTTGTTTTTTGTTTGTTCATTTGTGTTTTGAAACAGAGTCTTGCTCTGTTGCCCAGGCTGGAGTGTAGAGGTGAGATCTCGGCTCACTGTAACCTCCCAGGTTCAAGCAATTCTCCTGTCTCAGCCTCCCAAGTATCTGGAATTACAGGTGCACACCATCACGCCTGGCTAATTTTTATATTTTCAGTAGAGACAGGGTTTTGCCATATTGGCCAGGCAGGTCTTGAACTCCTGACCTCACGTGATCCACCCACCTCAGCCTCCCAAAGTGCTAGGATAATAAGGGTGAGCCACCACGCCCTGCTATGAATCTTGTTTTGTTTCGAGTATCTTAGGTATTTTCTGTTTTCTCAGGTTCCCTCTCTAGTGGTTCATGCCTATAACCCCAGCACTTTGGGAGGCTGAGGTGGGAGGATCGCTGGAGGCCAGGAGTTGAAGACTAGCCTGGGCAACTTCGTGAGACTCAAAAAAAAATGCCAGGTGTGGTGGTGGGTGGTGCATATCTGTAGTCCCAGCTACTCAGGAGGCTGAGGCAGGAGGATCACTTGAGCCTGGGAGGTCAAGGCTGCAGTGAGCCTTGATTGGGCCACTGCACTCCAGCCTAGGCAACAGAGTGAGACATTGTCTTAAAAAAATTTAAAAAAAGCTGTAGAGCATTGAGTGCCAATATCAAATGTGTTAACACTTATTATATATAAAAATACAGTGCAACATGCTGTCGCAAGTACTCGGACAGAAACTTCCAATTTTATGACTAATGTCTTCTTTCAACCCGGTCGCTCTGTGACTCACTTGAAGGTAAAGTCAAAAGCCTAAATGTGAGAACTTCTAGGAAACGTGACACAAACCAAACGTCCTTCCTGAGTTCCCGTGATCCATTATTACCTTCATTTTACTAGTGAAGCAAACTGAGGCACAGAGCGGTTGAGTCAAAGTCACACGGGTTGTGTGAAAGTCACAGGGACTTCTGAATCCATGTGAAGTCACAGCATGGTCAAAGTCACACAGCTGGTGATATTGAGATTCTGATCCAAGTCTGTTTGACTCAAAAGTTCGTGTTTTAACAATAATACAACAATGATTTTCAAAGCTTGGTCACTAGGTTAAAGAAAAAAAGATGCCAGGTACAGTGGTTCATGCCTGTAATCCCCGCACTTTGGGAGGCCGAGGCATGTGGATTGCCTGAGCTCAGGAGTTTGAGATCAGACTGGGCAGCTCGGTGAAATCCTGTCTCTACTAAAAATACAATAGAGATCCAAGATGGCTGATCACTAGCAGCTCGGGATTGTAGCTCCCACTGAAAGCGCAAAGAGGGAGAGGACGCCACACCTTCACATGAATTCTTGTTGCGCACGCACCAGGAGATTCCCAGCGGAGGAGCCCCACGGGTCGCCATCGCGACTCTTGTGACCGGAGAGGCGGTTTTGCCGGCGCCTCGGAGCGTTGGTTCTTGGTGCAGAGTCAGAAAAGCACCATCAATCTTAACGCCGCTGATTTGGTCGGCGCAGTGGGTTGCTCAGATTTCGGCGCTGAGAATCAATAAGTTGGACGTCCACTCAGAAACCCAATTACAAAGACGGTAATTATAAAGACCACATGGATAAATCTACAACGAAAGGAAGAAAACAGCCAAAAAAGGCTGAGAATACCCAAGATCAGAATGCCTCTCCCTCAGCGGGGGATCCCAGTTCCTCATCAGCAACGAAACAAGGCTTGATGGAGAACGAGTGTGTTCCAATTACAGAAGCAGGCTTCAAAATGTGGATAATAAGAAACTTCTGTGAATTAAAAGAACTTGTTCTAACACAATCCAGAGAAACTAAGAACTTTGAAAAAAGGTTTGATGAAATGTTAACAAGAATACACAATTTAGAGAGGAATATAAGTGAATCGATGGAGTTGAAAAACAATACAAGAACTACGTCAAGTATGCACAAGTTTTAACAGCCGAATTGATCAAGCAGAAGAAAGGATATCAGAGGTCGAAGACCAAATCAATGAAATAAAACAAGAAGACAAGATTAGAGAAAAAAGGATAAAAAGGAACGAGCAAAGTCTCCAAGAAATATGGGACTATGTGAAAAGACCTAATCTACGCTTGATAGGTGTACCTGAATGTGACGAAGAGAATGAATCCAAGCTGGAAAATACGCTTCAGGATATTATTCAGGAAAATTTTCCCAACCTAGTAAGGCAAGATAATATTCAACTCCAGGCAATACAGAGAACACCACAAAGATATTCCTCAAGAAGAGCAACTCCGGGCCGGGTGCGGTGGCTCAAGCCTGTAATCCCAGCACTTTGGGAGGCCGAGACGGGTGGATCACGAGGTCAAGAGATCGAGACCATCCTGGTCAACATGGTGAAACCCCGTCTCTACTAAAAATACAAAAAATTAGCTGGGCATGGTGCTGCGTGCCTGTAATCCCAGCTACTCAGGAGGCTGAGGCAGGAGAATTGCCTGAACCCAGGAGGCGGAGGTTGCAGTGAGCCGAGATCGCGCCATTGCACTCCAGCCTGGGCAACAAGAGCGAAACTCCGTCTCAAAAAAAAAAAAGAGCAACTCCAAGGCACATAATCGTCAGATTTACCCGGGTTGAAATGAAGGAGAAAATACTAAGGGCAGCCAAAGAGAAAGATCAGGTTACCCACAAAGGGAAGCCTATCAGACTTGCAGCAGGTCTCTCAGCAGAAACCCTACAAGCCAGAAGAGAGTAGGGACCAATATTCAACATCCTTAAAGAAAAGAACTTTCAACCCAGAATTTCACATCCAGCCAAGCTAAGCTTCATCAGTGAAGGAAAAGTAAAGTTTTTTGTGAACAAGCAAGCACTCAGAGATTTCATCACCACCAGGCCTGCTTTACAAGAGCTTCTGAAAGAACCACTACACATAGAAAGGAATAAACAGTATCAGCCTTTCTAAAAAATACCAAAAAGAGCATCAATATAATGAAGAATTTACATCAACGAATGGACAAAATAGCCAGCTAATATTAAATGGCAGTATTAAACTCACATAAATCATTGTTAATTCTAAATTTAAATTGACTAAATCCCCCAATCCAAAGACAGACAGACAATTTAGATAAAAAACTAAAACCCATCAGTATGCTGCATCCAGACCCATCTCACATTCAAGGATACACAAAGACTCAAAACAAGGGATGGAGAAAGATTTACCAACCAGAGAGCTAAAATAAATAAATAAAAAGCAGAAGTTACAATTTTTGCCTCTGATAAAATAGTTGTTAAAGCAACAAAGATCAAAAGAAGCAAAGAAGGACATTATATAATGATAAAAGGATCAATGCAACAAGAAGAGCTAAAGATCCTAAATATGTATGCACCCAATACAGGAATACCCAGACATATAAGACTAATAAAGAGACAGACTCCCACACAATAATAGTTGGAGACTTCAACATTAATATTAGACAGATCAATGAGACAGAAAATTAACAACGATATCCAGGACTTGAACTCAGATCTGGAACAAGTAAACGTAATTAACATTTATAGAACTCTCCACTTTAAATATACAAAATATACACTCTTATCAGTACCACATCATATCAACTTAGAAGTTTAAACAAAATGTTGGTTGGCTCCTTGTTTGTTATTCTCTTCCCTCATAAAAAAAAAAAAATACAAAAAATTAGCCGAGTGTGGTGGTGTATGCCTGTAGTCCCAGCTACTTGGGAGGCTGAGGCAGAAGAATTGCTTGATCTTAGAAGGCAGAGGTTGCAGTGAGGCAGGAGAATCACATGAATCTGGGAGGCGGAGGTTACAGTGAGCCGGGATATCGTCACTGCACTCCAGCCTGGGCAACAGTGAGACTCTGTCTCCAAAAATAAATAAATAAATAAATAAATAAATAAATAATGAAACAAACCCTGTCTCAAAAAAAAAAAAAAAAAAAAAAAAAAAGTTAAAAACAAAAAAGGAAAAGAAAAAAAGAGGAACCAAGGCTTGCAGATGTGACTTGCCCCACGTCCCAGGGCTGGCGAATGGCAGCGTTGAGATCTGGACATCTGCGTGAAGGTTGCTCACCTAACGCTCCTCTGTCTCCCTGGGACCTTTTCTCTTCTGGGGGCAACTGGATTGGCAAGGCCCCATACAAAATGGGAAAGCCATGCTCCGCCTGTCCCCCCAGTTACCAAGGCAGCTGCAGTAGCTTGCCTGGGCTGAAATCCAATAAGCTCCTGAGCTTCTGATTTTTCTCTGAGCTTTGGTGTGTCTCCAGCTGGAGCTGCCCCTCCACATCCTGCCTTCAAAATACTGGGTGGAGGAATAATTTTTTCTGTAAAGGATATGAGTTAGAATCATCCCTATTGAACTTTCCCTCCTAGATTCCCTTTCTTAAATGTCCAACATGCGTTAGAAGAAAATGACCTCCCTGCCTGCCTTCTTTTCTACTTGCAAAACCTTTCTTTTCTTGGGCCTCCAGAAAAGAGCCCTGCATGTTTCATTAATCCAGTTCTCAGAGAACCAAGGCTGGAAGGCACAGAACTGGTGCCTTAGGACCGGGGATGATGGCTCACACCTAAAATCCCAGCATGATGGGAGGCCGAGGTGGGAGAATCACTTGAGTCCTGGAGTTGGAGAACAGCCTGGAAAACATGGCAATACCCCATCTCTATTTAAAAACAAACAGAAATCCTGGCACCTTGGTTTTGTGACTGTCTGGCTTTGTCAAACCCAAATGACTTTGTCCATCCAATGAAAGGAATTCTTCCGAGTGTGGCGGCTCACGCCTGTAAACCCAACACTTTGGGAGCTGAGGCAGGTGGATCACATGAGGTCAACAGTTCGAGACCAGCCTGGCCAATATGGTGAAACCTCGTCTCTACTAAAAATTCAAAAATTAGCCGGGGATGGTGGCTCGCTTCTGTAGTCCCAGCTACTTGGGAGGCTGAGGCAGGAGAATCTCTTGAACCTGGGAGGCAGAAGTTACGGTGAGCAGAGATGGAGCCGCTGCACTCCAGCCTAGGCACAGAGACAAGACTATCTCTTTAAAAAGAAAGAAAGAAAGAAAGAAAGATAATCTGCTGTCATTCATCCAATAACAGCCAACCAGTTTCTGGGCAGCCTTTGAAGACTTGTGATTCCCTCCCTAAATTGGGCACACTTCAGACCCATGATTTTAAAAAAACAATGAAATTGGCTTGTGGACATCCCACCCAACTCCCACTGCATGGTCTTGAAGCCACCACGGAGTCCAGGTCCCCCCTTTTTACAGATGGGTACACTGAGGCTCAGAGCAGGGTGTAACTTACCCAGAGCTACACAGCTTGTCTTTGATGGCCAAGGTTAGAGCAGAGTCTCTGACAGCCTCTCAGAACTGGGAAGTGAAAGCCGGTGTTGGCCTGAGGGGACTCTCAGTCTCTCTCTTTGATCTACCGCTTGTTCTATCTCTGCCTGGTTTTCTGTTTCAGTCTCTGTGTCTCTCATTCTTTTTCTCCCAGACAATCTTACTCTCATTCCAATAAGCCATTTCCCCTCTCCCCACCCCATCCCACCCAGTGATCGTAGGGCACAAAAGGCCTTTTATCTCCAGAGATAGTAAAATCTCCTCCCTCAGACCTTGCCCTGGGGCCCACTCCTTGCTTGGCTGGAGAGCGCCTCCTTTGAAGACCTGGGATGGAAAACAGGCCCTTTCTCTTGGATTCCCTGCATTGTCCTGGATGGAGTGAGTTTTCTCAACCTGTGTGTGTCACACCCTCCCGTGTCAACCCCAGTAAAGTCCTTTGAGATCCAGTGCAGTGGCTCTTTCTGGTTCCTCCCTCTCTCTGCTCCCAAGAGGGTCAAAAGACGAAGAAGGGGAACTGGCTGGGGGAAGATGGGTGAAGGGAAAACCAGCTCAACTGGAAGACCAGGGAAAGGCACTAACAGCGCGTTGGGCCCTACCAAATATACCACTGCTCCATTTTACAGATGAGATCAACGAGGTGTGGGGTGAGGACCAACTTCTAAATGCTGGAAATAAGTGAAATAAGAGAACTAAGAGCTTGGGCACAGTGGCTCACGCCTGTAATCCCAGCATTTTGGGAGGCCAAGGTGGGCAGATTACTTGAGGCTAGGAGTTCGAGACCAATCTGGGCAACACGGTGAAACCCCGTCTCTACTAAAATTACAAAAATTAGCCAGGCATGGTGGTGCATGTCTGTAATCTAGCCACTCAGGAGGATGAGACATCAGAATTGCTTGAACCCTGGAGGTGGAGGTTGCAGTGAACCAAGACCGCGCCATTGCACTCCAGCCTGGGTGACAAAGCAAGTCTGTGTCTCGAAACAAAAAAAAGAGAGAGAGTTCGTATCTTCTTAGACTATATCTTTCCTACTTTATTTTTTGGAATGGGCTTTTCTTGAAGACTATATCAGAAATGGAAAACCCAAGAGACCACCTGGAATTCCCATCTTACCGTGACAATTTTTGCTTAATTGTCTCTTCCTTCATGCTTCTCCGGAGTTTCTTCCCCCTTCTGAGCTGAGAGGCAGGAGTGAAGGGGTTAAGACATTGAGCTTTTGTGTTATATAGAACAGATTCAGCCTGGTGCGGTGGCTCAGGCTTGTAATCCCAGCACTTTGGGAGGCTGAGGCAGGTCAATCACATGAGGCCAGGAGTTCCAGACCACCCTGACCAACATGGTGAAATTCCATCACTACAAAAAATACTAAATTAGCCGGGTGTGGTGGTGCGTGCCTGTAATCCCAGCTACTCAGGAGGCTGAGGCAGGAGAATTGCTGGAACCCAGGAGGCAGAGGTTGAAGTGAGCTGAGATTGTTCCATTGCACTCCAGCCTGGGCAACACGAGTGAAACTGTCTCAAAAAGAAAGAAAAAAGAACAGATTCAAATGAAGCTTCTTGAGCCTCAGTTTTTACATCTGTAAAATGGGAATACTGACTGTGACAATTCAATGACATTAAGAGCATAGAATGCTGACAAACTAAACAGTTCATAAATGCCAGTGGTTGTCGTTCTCATTATCCTGGTGCTCAGGAAGGCAATGTGGGACCCATTGAAATAGTACGGGCTTTGGGGTCAGATGATGCTGAATTCCAGTTCTGTGTCAGCTCCTTCCTAGTTACGGGACCTCATGATGCCACTTCTTGCAGGGGGTCACATGCCACTTAAAATTCTAGAACATTTTGGGAAATTGGCATAGGGTTAGCAAACTTCTCCTGCCCCATATAAAAATATTAATACTTTTTTTTTTTTTTTTTTTTTGAGACCGAGTCTGGCTCTGTCGCCCAGGCCAGAGTGCAACGGTACCATCTTGGCTCACTTCAACCTCTGCCTCCAGGGTTTAAGCAATTCTCCTGCTTCAGTCTCCTGGGTAGCTAGGGTTACATGCTCACCACCATGCCCAACTAATTTCTGTATTTTTAGTAGAGATGGGGTTTCATCAGGTTAACCAGGCTGGTCTTGAACTGCTGACCTCAAGTGATCCACCCTCCTCTGCCTCCCAAAGTGCTGAGATTACAGGCATGAGCCACTTAACCCAACCAAGAATATTAATACTTTACATTTAAAAACCTAACATTTATTATCACTTGTTTTACAAAATAAAGGACATTTTAATACAATCCATGTCCATCAATAGGGGCCGAAGGTCCCTCTGGGGTGGTTGATCAAGCTCAAAAAAGAGACTATGGGGAGAGAGGAGGAATATATCCATTAGCTATTTTAGAGGTGGGGAAAACTGTGAGCTAGGTATCGCTATAATGAGATGAAATAATTTACCAAAAAACATACAGCAATAAAATAGTGGAGCTGGAGTTACTGATTTTTCTGAGGTCAGTTTGTTTCACTACTTCTCATTTGAGCTCTCTCTAACAGGGTAAATGACCTCGCTTTCAGAATCCTCAAGCAGGTGGTGAGATCCAAAACTGAGACAAAAGAAATGGGGCTGTTAAAAAAAAAAAAAAAAAAAAAGCCAGGCAGCAGGTGTCTAACATACTGGGGAGCTAACACAGGGCCTGCAGGTTTCAGGAACAGGTTGAATTTAGAAGGGGGAAGGAGACCAGAGGAGGGGCCAAACAGGATGACTCTGGCCCACTGGCCCGGAGGCAGACCTGCATTTCCCAGCCCGTCAACCACCCGTTTGTAACACTATCTTTTTTTTTTTTTTTTTTTTTTTTTTTTTTTTTGAGACGGAGTTTCACTCTTGTTGCCCAGGCTGGAGTGCAATGGCGCGATCTCGGCTCACCGCAACCTCCGCCTCCTGGGTTCAGGCAATTCTCCTGCCTCAGCCTCCTGAGTAGCTGGGATTACAGGCACGTGCCACCACGCCCAGCTAATTTTTTTTGTATTTTTAGTAGAGACGGGGTTTCACCATATTGACCAGGATGGTCTCGATCTCTTGACTTCGTGATCCACCCGCCTCGGCCTCCCAAAGTGCTGGGATTACAGGCTTGAGCCACCGCACCCGGCCCAGTGTAACACTAGCTTTAAATGACTATCTGATTAAGGTCTGTCTCCTCCATTAGCCCACAAGTTTTGGGGGTACATCTCTACCTTGCTTATTTCCATATCACCAGAGTCTAGCACAAGGCCTGGCACATAGTAGGTGCTCAATAAGTATGTTAGATGAAAGGAAGATAACACCTCTATGGACTAGCGGTGAGACTCCAGGCCTGCAATTTCTCTCTGTGTTTCAGTCTCTTCATCTCAAGGTTTTAGTTAAATGTGATAACGCCTGTATGCAACTCCCAGCATCCAGTAGGCACTCAATAAACACAGTTCTCCACCCTCCTTTTCTCCTCTGCTCCTCCCTCAGCTTTCCCACTACTTCCTGCATGGTGACACACCCATAGTTTGGAGCCATAAAACCCAACCCAGGTTGGACTCTCACCTCTCCAGCTCCTTCTGCTTGGGCCCTGTCCTCAAACTGGGGGGCTGATGTCCCTGTACATCTGGCTCTCGGTTCCCCTAACCCCTCAGTGCAGAACTGGGGCCTGAGTGGACCTCAGGTCTGGCCAGGTCGCCATTGCCATGGAGACAGCAGCAGTCCCCAGCCACAGGTTCCCTAAGTGACTGGTTACTCTTTAACGTATCCACCCACCTTGGGTGATTAGAAGAATCAATAAGATAACCGGGCGGTGGCAGCTGGCCACACTCCCCGCCTTCCTGGTGGACTGGCTCCTGGTGGCTCTGCTGCTGCTGTGTGCGGGCCCCTGCTCCTCCATGCCCCCGGGTCTCCGGCTGGGTGGA